GCATCAGCTTATCGAAAAAGAACAAAGTGCGCATGCCTTCAGGCAAGAAATTATTGCATTGCACGAGATTGCATGTAGTGTAAACAGGCTTTAATACACACTGAAAATTGTAAAACGACTCTCATCAGAGTACAATATTTGGGATGGAAATCTGTTATTTTCACTGTACTTTTGTAAATACCAGTTGCAATATTTAAGGCGTCGATCATAATCAGTTGGATACAAGTGCTGATGTAGCGGGTATTTGAATAACTCGAATTTTTGTTTATTGAGAATTCTCAATACTGAAGCCTGACTTATGTCACACTCTGCAGCGATTTCCCTCGTTGAAGCTACCCTATTTACAGCAACCATATCCAACACATCAACTTCCTTTTCCTCATTTGAAACGAATGGTCCGTTAACGTTATTTGATTCAGTCCTCATGATTTTTAACAATCTGGGAAAATAATGTCGACTTGGGTGGCGACGATTTGGATATTTCGCAGCGTATGCGCGAGCTGCGTGTGTCGCAATCTGCCTGCACCCTGTAACATTTTAATTTTGCTCTTCCCATTAAATGAGTAATTCAGCGTTTTAACTGGTAACACACAAATATTATTTTAGAGCTGACTTAATTGATTGGATATTAATTACCTTACTCTGCATCTTTTTAGATAATTTCAGGCACAGCCAGACAAGATTTTGCTCCTTATCATTTGTCTAATGATTTAGTTGACCATTGCAGATGAATATTTATTGAACAATGCCTGGTTATCTTATTCTTGTTGTCCTTAAAAGGAATATACATAAATTATCAATTTCATTAGTCGATAGCCAACATTGTTTTGATTTTCAAATAAAAAGGGGTTATGTCCAGTTAATTGTCATTCAATTTTATTTTCGCGCCAGCCGCCAGCTCATTTCGAAGGATTAATTCCTTTAGTTTTCACTCCCTCTCTGTCTCTCTCTTACTGGAGGATTTCATTTCTTTTATTTACCTGTTATCGAGTACCTATATCGATCAATTTGCTGGTACTTTGGTTTTGGTCGCGGGTTGGGTTTTTCAATACATGTCGATATAATTGGTGTCGTGTCAGAGAAGGTATGGACAATATTATTTAATAAGTGAAGTTATTTATAGATTTTAATGAGAATAGTGTTTTCCTGATTAGTGTGGATTGATTCGGTCCCATTTGTTGAGTCTCTTTGGAGGTTTCGCTGACGACTATCGATATCTTTGTCGTTATCTTTCAATCCTTCCTAAAGTGTGGAATGTGGAATTCGATAGAAAAAAATGTAACATAAAAAAAAAGTTAGTGCGTAGGAATTTCTGGTTTAGGGTCCCAAAAATCGTACAACGGTCTTTTCCATTTCGTCCAGCGACAAGAACACTTTGGCTTTGGCCTGAAGGATAGTTTTTTTATCCGGTTGACCATAAAGAAAATTAAGTGATTTTCTCTATTTAATTAGGATCCGGTCATCCAGATAATTTCAATTTTGGTTTTGCCAGTCTAGTTTTGGTTTTTGTTACCTTTTGGCAGCCAAATCACCTTTCTAAGGGATTTATCTATTTCTTCTAGTCGAATATCACATCACGTCGCTTGGATTGAATTGTTTGAGTCTAGACTCTTAGAGCCTTGATTTTATTGTTGCTCGTTATTGTGAACTTCCAAATTGGATCAGCCAGCGTAGGTGAAATTAGAGTTCCATGACCTTCCGTTCACCTTCAACCTTTGAGCTGTGACCCTCAAAAATCCACGAGGGTCTTATGGTACGGTTTTATGCTACCGTTTTCGATAACGCAACTCAGTGGATGTTTTGATGGTATGCAGTACCCACCACTGTATCTGAATAGCAAAGACTCGGCGAACTAGTTTTCATTGATGAGATAGATCATCTGGTACGAGTGTGAAATCCCAGACCCATTGTTAATTGTCGGCATAAAGCTAGTTTAGTAGTTTAGTGGAATTTTTTTTATTAATTATTTAAAAATATCGTATATGGCTTAGGTAACTTTAGTTACTCACATTTAAGTAAACATTTGACCCCATTTATTTGCGGAGTGATCACTGACGCTGGGTGTGTGTTAATTCGCACTTATTGGTTATTTTAGTTTTAAGTATAGCTCTCTGCTTACATAGGTATTCATACATATCAATACCGACAGACAGTTTTCTTAAATCTGACTATGAGGAAGCCTTTAGATTCTTTATTCCTGCTAGTCGTCATACTAACCTCTGAATACTTGTCATAATCATTATTTAATCACCATAACTTGTACTAAATCAATACTTAATATTCAATAAATACTGATTTTGTTGTATTGCCAATTACCTGCTTTCTGTGTCTTTTTGCTTGTCCAATTATTTTCTTACATTTCAGGCATAATAATTTGGTTTGTACTTTAGTTCAACCTGCAGTCATCGCAGGACTTTTCCGATTTAGTTTCAAAAATTGGTGGCGCACGAATCCACGAACCGAGCACGTGGACACTTTAACAAACTCTGTTGAACTAAGGTCGCAATCCAAATAAGGTTACATTTTGGTAATTGATTTTTCTTACGTAAAATAAAAGTGTTACAACCCACCCAATACTAAAATCATATCTCATCATATTTCTCTTTCACAGAAAAAAAAATGCTTGAATACGAAATTAGTCTGACAACTTGTGTCAAATTTCTAATAAAAGAAGGTGCTTAACGTCATTTAAGGTAATCAACTTGTATTACGAGGGTGATTTCAAAGATTTTATTCCAAAAAATTAAAGTTAAGAATCTAGCAGAAGTTTAACATGAAAGGAGACATTATTGTATAGTATCAATCTATTAGTCGGAAAAAAGTTGTTTAGTTGATTCCGTGAGCCACTACCCTTTCCATAAGAAAAAATCAACTTTTACGCATTCGAAAATTTCAAATGGCTGTAGAAGTTGCATTTTCCAATAATAAAAATAAATAATAATTTTAACAGTTATTTGGGTACAAAACCTACCAATTAATGTCACTCATGGCACGCTAGATGAAAAGTGCGAATTGGTAATTTCAGTTTCAGAAATGTCAAAAAATTATATTGATATACATTTTCATATTTAGAATACAGAGGCGAATTTAAATATCTAAAAATAAACTGGGTGTTCCATTTAAAATTTGAAAGTTAGGGTCGTTTCCAGAGAAACCGGAAGTATCAGAAAAGTACTTATTATGTGAAACAATGCACACCAATGACTTATACCTTCTACCAAAATATAAGATGAAAATCTTAAAAAATAAAAAAGTTACAGGGACGAGCGTCATCTGAGAATCACCCGGTATACCTAGTAGCTTGCCCCTTACTGTATATGGTTGGGCATGCTAATTTTTGATACAAACGGTTGCTGACGCTAGCAACTATTTATTTGTATCAATACAAACAAATATGGACGCTGTTAGCAACATATTTTTTGCATTTTCATTTTTTATTCGTGAAATAATCCTTTAAGTAAATACCAATCAAGCTTTAAAATGATCAAAATAGACCAGATAATTTTTCACTCATGCGTGTTTTCTTTGCAAATTTCACTAGTCCTAAGGACTCGTGGACTCGTGAAATTATAGAAAACACGCAGTCGTGAAAAATTATTCGTAATTTTGAAGCTCTCGTGGTATTATGTGGTAGGTATTAACGCCGAAAAATGATATTAAAATCTGAAAAAATGTCAAGATTTATCAAAATGAATTCATGGTTCGAAATGACAATTAATGACAATGACAATCATTAATTAGGTAGTTATTTGTCTAGGAAGCGTTATGTCAAAAATTTGACATCTGGTTTCAAGTGCGTACACTTATAGTGGAATTTTTCCTGCCGTAGCGGAAGCGCACCATCATTTCATATTTTCGAGATACTTTTCGGAATTTTGCACAATGAGTTATAGTGATAGTGAAGAAGAAATTGTTGTAATTTGTATTTTACTCGCAGAGGAACAAAAAAAAAGCGAGAATTTATTTTGTAGCAAATCAAAAATTGTTCAAAGACTTTGCTGACCCATAGAGTTTCCAAGCCAGTGAAAAAGAAAACAATATTACCTAACCTATATATAAAAATTACCACCGTGCGACCGTGCGAATCAAACGATTCGACTGGTCGAGCTCACTAAATGGATTCGGAACATACGTCGTCAGCACGAACAGCACGAACCGAAAAAAGATTCCCTGCCAAACATCCTGGTCGCATTTGCCGTAGTACGGCTCGTGCGGCTCCGGATGTTTTGCGATACCTCATCAAAATCAATGTAAACAATATTTTGTTACGGCTCCTGCGCCCGGTGCGACTCGTTCGGCTCCGGCTAGTGTGCGCTTACCTTAATGATTCAATGATTGGCCCATATGTTTAATGTAAGATCGAGGAATCAACGAATCCTTTGCTACCAGTTTACCTAGGAACTAATTTATATACAGTGTCCCCATAATGTTCGCTACATAGGTATGGGGAAATTTTTTATTTGTAGGATATGGAATTTTTTCTTATGTGCGATCGATCCTGCGCATGTCTGATCTCCTAAAGGGGTTATTCCAATCCGAGCGACTTTGGTCTCATGTCGCGAGGCGACAAATAGCTTACGAGTACACAAGGCCTCGGCTCGAGATCGGACCAGCGACCCAGCAGGGCCCTAAAACCAGTGGCGGCTCATATGGGCAAGGTGGGCACCGCCACCCTGGAGTACGAATGGAAAAGTAAAAAATGTTTTTAATACAATATTTGAAAAGCCCGTGACCTTGAAAATCTGAAAAAAAAATTCGCCTACGGCTGTTTTTTATTTTTGTCGCCCATCCTTACTTGGACACCCACGAGCCGCCACTGACTTATGACCATTTCTGACGACAACCATAGGACAACGTATCAATAAATATAAGGAATTATATCAAGCTTTCACTTATTCAGCATTTATTATTATAATACGTATAAATACGGGCTTGCTTGCAGCATTATATTATAGAATTTAGTCTTCAAGTCAGAAATAAAAAATGTCTGATTGTTGTTGAAACATCTATGTAATTCCATGTTATGTTCACTTAGAATAAAACTTTTTAAAAACAGAAGTTGCATGAAAGTAAATATAATTATTTATACATATTTAAACAATAACAATTCGCATTACTTATTTACTTTAGGTTTATTGAAATAATTGGCTTTAACAAACGGCATTTTCTCAACAACGCCCCCATAAACTTTATCCCTAATTTTAAGCCCAACTTTGGTTCCAACTTTACTGTAGTCAATGGGAACGTAGCCCATGGCAACATTCAGTCCTAGACTCGGAGAAGGACAGCCCGAAGTTACTTCTCCAAGAAGTTCATTGTTTTCGGACAGGATTTGAGATCCGTGACGGGGCGGCGGACCGGAAGTAGAAGTTAAACCAATCCTTTTGATTTTGGATCTATGGAAAAAAACTTCTAGAATTACAGAATATCGAAATTAGGTACAGTAAAATGTATTGCATAAACCAGGGTTGATACTTAAGTGAGTAGGTAGGTACACCTTAATTAAATAAGGATTGAGGTAATTTCAAGATCAAGTTTCTATGAGGCATATGGATCTCTGCGTTTTGTTTAGAAGAAGATATTATCAAGTCGGAAGCCGAAGAGTTTTCAACATGTTCATAGAAACTTTTTTCAGATTTTTTGAGAGGCCAGATCACCTCTTGAATTGGGTCATATATATTATATTATCAAACAACCTTCCATGAATCATGATAATTCTATTATTTCTAGCAAAAAGCTTACCCTTCTTTAATTTGTCGTAATATTTTCGAAGCTCCCGGAAAATCCTGTGTTTCTCTCCGACGTTTGGCAACCAACCATGTTAAAGCTCCATCAATAGGCGTCATTTCAGAGTTAATGTCACTTCCATATAAACAAAGACCAGCTTCAAGCCTAGGTATATACAGTGTGTATCAGCCAAATGGAATAAATTCGATAATAAATAAATGGGAAACTTTTCGAAAAAACGCTCGAACACGTCAATTTTGTTTTTTTGCTTGAGATTTTCTAACACCAAGTTTTTTATACAGGGTGTTCCAAAAATAGCTGTACCGTTATCATTTTTAGTTTTTTCAATGTTACCCCCTGTATATTATTATGACATTTCTGGATTCTGCGGAAAATTCTAGACATATTTCATGTACAATTTTTCATAAGCTATCATTTGACAGCAACTTTGAATTTAACCGGAGATTAATAATTTAAGCGAAATTTCTAATCATGAATTAACTTCAAAGTTGGTGTCAAATGATAGTTTATGAAAAACTAAGATAAGAATGTATGATCGGTTTTGCTGTAAAATTAACCGTTCAGGTTTTGCAGTCTGTCCAAGATGCAAAAAAATCAATTTTCAACTTTCAATATTTCCGAAACAGTTGAAGATAGGTATATGACATTGTACATGAAATATGTCTAGAATTTTCCGCAAAATCCAGAAGTGTCATAATATCTAGGGGGTACCATTAAAAAAATTAAAGTTGATAACGATACAGCTGTTTTCGGAACATCCTGTATAAAAAAATTGATGTGAAAAAATCTCAAGCAAAAAAACAAAATTGACGTGTTCGAGCGTTTTTTCGAAAAGTGCCTGATTTATTTATTATCGAATTTATTCCATTTGGCTGATACACACTGTATAATAATAAAAATTATCATTTTTTACTTTGGAAAATACTTCTCACCTTAAAGAATCTCTGGCTCCTAAACCTGCAAGTTTGATGTCGGAATTTTCCAAAAGGGCCTTGACTATACTGACAGCTTTATCTGCAGGAATCGATAATTCGAAGCCATCTTCACCGGTGTAACCGCACCTTGAACAATAACGTTGTGATTATTTTATTGGTTTTTGGAGTAGGTAGCATAAGTAGCCTTGACCCTTCCTTGAGAGAGCACACAAAAGATTAAGCGCCTACTTTGGATTTTTCCATTCTTTCTACATTTTAGAAATATTTTCTCTCATACCTGGTAATTCGACATCCCTGAATGTTGGCAATATCACCGATCCTAGTATTCATAAAATACAGTGTTTTCAAATCCACGTCAGTCAGTTTTTGGAGAGCTTCTGCCGCTTTTGGCCCTTGCAGTGCAACCAATCCTCTTTGCAGAGGCTCGAAAAATTCAATTTTAATATCGGAGTCGCGATTATGTAGCTTTTTATAATTTTGCTAAAACAAAAAATTTGTATGATTACTATTTTCAAAATCAATCAAAATCTTACCAATCCATTTAACATAATTTGCTGATCTTGCTTCTTCATAGCAGCATTAGAAACAACATACAAAAACTCTTCGTTCACTTTTGTGACAATTAAATCGTCTAAAATGCCTCCATTTTCGTTAGTGAACACGGTTAAACTGGCACTGTTCTCTGCTAGACCCTGTATATCAGCCGTACATAGTGATTCCATAAAATTTACACAGTTTTTACCTAAAAAGCACAACACTTTTTATTTCATTTGTTGATTTTTATCGCCAAAAACTTTAGACATAATTTCGATAAAATTTTGAGGAAGTAGATTGAAGTCAGTAATATCATTACAATATGTCATGAGAAAGATATGATTTTCAAATCGATCTTGTAGTTCTTGTACCTGTTATTTCAGTCTGCAACATATGCGACACATCAAAAACACTAGCATTTTTCCTAGTACACAGATGAGAATTCACTATAGACTGATCACTATACTGAACCGGTAAAAGAAATCCTCCAAAGTTTACCATTTTTCCTCCATTTTCCACGTGGAAATCGTACAAGGACGTAATTTCGCCGCCTTTTGTGGTCGAATAGCATTTTTTTAAAGAGTTTGAAATTATTGTTCTGATTGAAAACATTTTTCCGGATTATTGGACTAAAAATTACATCTAGAATGATACTGCCTTATCCAACAAAATTTCATATTACATATTTAGAAATAAGTTAACAAATATCCATATTTAACAATCATAAACATTCCTATCTGTGTGATAGGTAGGTTCTCATTTGTTACCAGGGAGAATAAAAATAATACTGGACTGAAATTCAACAAAAAACAATTAAATGTATTTATTTTCAACCACATATGTAATGTTGACATTGCAGGTTTTTCAAAATCTTGAAAGTGTCACATTTCTGGACTTTGACATTTATCGGGACGGTAATGCATATGCCTGCCTAGGACGGAAAAGCATTTTCCGTCCGGGACGGCAAATGCTTTTCCGTCCCCATTTCCCTGCTCGTTCCAAATTGATAATTTTCATACAGCTCTCACATATAATAATAAAACCACATGTATTACATGGAACTAATTAAATCTATTCACTTATTTACATTAATTGTTAAATTAGCATTGTTGTTTATAATGGAAATCTTGAGACCATCCTGTTGGAATTGTGTTTCGTTTGGAACTATTATCTCTTGCGCTTGCGGATGAGTTTCCGCATGTGATGTACTTGTGGATGCACTGGACAACTGAATACCTTTGGAAGTAGAGGATAGCATCAGAGCAGTCTTACTTTTGTTCTCCAAAGATGCCTCTATGTAGCCTTCAGCAACCGTGCTCGATTTCCACCCTCCCAGTCTTTTGAGTTGCAATAGATCGGCCCCGTTGTCAACCAATAAGGTTGCGGAAGTACGACGAAAAGCATGCCCTGTAAAAGTTTCAATTTTTGGAAGCTTCAAAAAAGCAGCTATTTTATGTGGAAATTTTGAGATTGAATGATAGCCAATTGCTTGGTTATGTAATTTCCCATTTCGCCATTGAACAAATAACCTGTCATTTTTCAAATTTTTCCGCAAAGTGAGGTATTTGTGGAAAATAGCAACCCAATCTGGATCGCTTATGATAAACGATCGACTTGTGTAAGTTTTTGTGTGTGGAATTTCTATAGCGATCTTTCCTTCCAAAACGTTGACGTGCTCCATTTTCATCTTGACTAGTTCATCGCTCCTACATGCACCCGACACACCAACAATTAGCGCTACCTGAAACCAGATAAAAATAAAATGGGTAACCTAGCTATAGCATACAGAAAATCATTTTGATTTTCGCATTTTTATCTTCTTTGTATATTTTTTGAAAACCTACCTTGATGCTAATGAATTCTTCAGCTGCCTTCGTGAGGAACTCGTTAATGTTTTCTCTGGAAAAAACGCTCGACTTTTTCGGCTGAAAGCCCAGATTTTGCCGCTTCAAAAAAGCTATAAGTTTTGCGTAATTGGAGATATCAACTTTCTCTTTCAATTTAATCATGGTTTTCAACATACTGTAAGTCGACCATAAAGTCGAAGGCTTCTTTTCCTTAGATAATTCGCCAAAATACGCCAACAAAACGGTCTCCGAGGCAGTATTTCTCGTTCCTTTCTGGCTACACCATGCTTCGAATATTTGAAAAGCCTTTTCGTACCGAAATTTGCTTTTTGCTGGAAGCAAACTCTCTCCAATCCTGTCTGCTGCTTCTTTTAATTCAGGTGGGGTACAATCCATCGCTTCATCTTCACTTTCCGAAATCATTTCTTTGGGGAGAACGGGGAGAAATCTAGTGAAAATCTATTATTTCCGCAAAAATACTGAGCGAAAACTACCGTCGTTAAGACGTTGTTGATCTTATCTATGGTTGTTGATTTTGCGGTTTCCTGTGGTTTCGTCTTTTGTTTTGGCCTTTACAGGGCCTTTGAGATCGTCAAAATTGATGACATTGACAAAAAAAGTGAAATATTTTTTTCTAAGGCCAGTTTTACACTATATGAAAATTTCGTATAACAGAATCTTTAGTTTTTGCATCAGAAAATTAAGGGTTGAAAATAAAAAAGTATACAAACCTCGACGGAAAACTTCATTTCTGTCTCGAGGTTGAGTTTATCTCGACGCTTCGCGTCTCGATAAACTATAATAACCTCTCGACCAGCAATGAAGTATTTTCCGTCTCGGATTGTAATATACTATTAAATCAAATTTATTTCCCAATTATTCTCTCTTATTCAGGATTGGCATCATTGCTCTCAGTTACTTAACATATCTTCAAATGTATCTGCTGACAAGATATTGTCATTTCATTTAGGCACAAATTAATTCATTATTCAATTAAGTATTCTATCTATCTATCTAGTATCTGTCAAGGTATAAGTATAATTTTTAATATACTGTCATTTAGAGAAGGGCAAATATGCATATAAAAGTATAGGAAATATGCGCATAGATATGCATATATTTTGTTCTAAATATGCAAGTATTTTTTAAAATATGCATAAAGAAATTTGAAATAATAAACACTGTTGTATTGTTGATGATGATGATTTTCAAAAAATCTAAATTGACAGTTGTAAGAACAATAAACAATTAAATATTCAATAGTAATATAACGAGTGCAATGGAAATTATCGATAATTTTTGGGAAATTTAACCAGTTCGATTTTTTCAAAAACCTCTTCCCCAAACACAAAATCACAACTTCAAATGAATACGGACATCTTCAAAAATTGATAGTAAAAATATTTTTGCTCTACTTCCAGGCAAATAGGTCTCAAATTATAGGTATTCAGGTAGGTAGGTAAGTCTGATTGGTAAGGTGGTCTAAGATTGGTAAGGGTTAAATTAGGTTTTAATCACCAGTATGAACAGAACAGTGGTGTAATTCCCATAACAAGGATCAGTGAAGGATCTTTCACGGTAGGTTCAGGGCCGTGCGAAGCACGCGCGGGCCCCAGTACAGCTATTGCGACGGGCCTCCCTAAAGGGACCCCAAACATTTTTGAGTGTCACGACATTTTTACCCAGAAGTCGTTAAAAAAGTACAGGGTGATCTATTATAAATGTCACCCCTTCCTAACTTTTTTATTTGATGTTTTTGACAAAAGTGTCAAATAGAAAAGTTTCAGGAAACTGTCAAGTGTAGCAGTACGAGGTTATATTATTTCAAATGGTATACACCTTGTATATTGTGCGCTTATTTGTTAGTCCCTTTCAAGGTCTCATGTTGAAGAATGAAAAATTATACCATTCAAGCTATAGAGAGAATTGTTTATTAACAATTTATTGTTCAAATGATATTCATTAATTTACAAGGTGAAATATCATAATAAATCCAGATGAAATAAGCTATTACTATCATTTAAAAAAAATACCAGGAAGGGATTTTCACGTTTTTCCCTATAACTATCGAAGATAAATCGAGAGATAAACATATCAAATCATATATCGTTGAAAGCAGGTTGAAGGGGACTAACAAATGGGCGCACAATATACACGGTGTTCCATTTAAAAAAATAAAACTTTGCTAGGCTACACTTTTTTGACGCACCCTCTATGCTTGAAACTGACTTTAAAAACTTTTAACAATTTCTTAAAACATTTGTATTTGACACTTCTGTCAAAAACGTCAAATGAGAAAGTAAGGAGGGGGTGAGATTGATAATAGATCACAATGTATAAGTACTCCTCGGGTATAATTTTATTAATTAACCCTTTTGGTTTCACAACCTGTCAAAGTTGCTAAAAAGTGAATTTTCAACTGTCAATATTTCCAAAACAGTTGAATCCAGGTAAATGGTATATCACATGGAATCTGCTCAGAATTTTACGTAGAATCCGAATATTCAATTCCTGTTTACAGGGTATTCCATTTAAAATGAGAGATTTGGACCACGACCAGCTTTTCTGAAACACTCTGTAGATGCGAAAATGAGAAGAAAAAAATTCAACCATAATGCTTTTATTTGAGACACTTCTTTCTAAAATGTCAAATAAAAAAGGTATAGTCGGTGCAATTTATAAACAATAACCCTGTACCATAAGACCTGAGAACATTTTTGGCGGGCCGGGCCCCTACTGAACCCGGGCCCCGGTAATTTATACCGGCCGCACCCCCCTATTCACGGCCCTGGGTAGGTTTTCCACTAATTACGTACCTGCTGAATGACTAAATAATCAAAAATTCTTCCCTTCATTGATGCCTTTTGTCTAAATTTGATACATTTTATGCACCATATGCAGGTTTTCAAAAAAATATGCAGAATCAAATTAAAATGCATAAAACATGCAAATTATGCACTTTGCATATATGCACTTCTCTAGTCATAACCTTTTGATTAATCTGAGAGACTGGCTATATTATTATTATAATTATTATGTTGCCCTCGTATTTATGAAGGAAGATAACTTAATCTTAGGTCAAGAGTTGGAACGTTGGGTAAGACCAGACTAGATTTTTGTAATTACACATTGTGTTCATTAAAATTTTTCGTCATATGATATGGGCACATATTTGGGATAACAGCACCGTTTAGTGTTTTGAATTAAAAAATTAAATTGGCAATTATCGAGTCGATGACGAACGTTGGTATTGAAACCTTAACGTTAGTATTGAAACCATCACATCATAATTGGTTAATTTTTGAAACGAAAGAGAATTTTTTTTAAATTTCTCTAGTTTCAATTTTGTAAAACCGTAACATGTTTCAGCTCAGGTTACCTTCAATGCTTAGATAGAATATTTAATATTCCAAACAGGTTACAAACTAATCAAAAAGTAGGAAGGTAGTGAGCACAAAAAGTGGGACACCCGTTTTTTCCTATTGTAAAATAGGCCACCAGCTATACCTACAGTGACTCTATTACCCACAGTGGCGACAATTGCTGTCTTATTTTTGATTGGTTCTGAAATCCCATATATTTATATTGAAAACGCGGCCATCTTGTTCCCACCTTTTGCTTATTTCAAATATGAATATATGGGATTTGGGTGAACATCCATCATAAAACATGGAAAACAACGTATTTGATGGACCTAATAATAGTCATCAAATAGGTACGTCGATTTCAATTTTTTATGATAGATGTCCATTTAAATCCTATATATTAATATTTAAAAGTAACAAAGAGGTTGGGAACAAAATGGCGGCGGGACCTCTATTGTCACCACT